TGTTGTTCAGTTACAAAGTAAGTTATACAAAACTGTAATATAGAGGGCCTTGTTGTTCAGTTACAAAGTAAGTTATACAAAACTGTAATATAGAGGGCGTTGTTGTTCAGTTACAAAGTAAGTTATACAAAACTGTAATTTAGAGAGCGTTGTTGTTCAATTACAAAGTAAGTTATACAAAACTGTAATTTAGAGAGCGTTGTTGTTCAGTTACAAAGTAAGTTATACAAAACTGTAATATAGAGAGCGTTGTTGTTCAGTTACAAAGTAAGTTCTACAAAACTGTAATATAGAGAGCGTTGTTGTTCAGTTACAAAGTAAGTTCTACAAAACTGTAATATAGAGAGCGTTGTTGTTCAGTTACAAAGTAAGTTCTTGTAGAACTATTTAATTTGACATTTAACCCATTTATACCAACAATATACATATATATAATATTGTTACTAACAATATATTATATTTTACAATAAATAAACCAAGTGTTACCAGTGTTAAGGTAACATTCGCTTTCCCATAACAAACAATACACCTTATTTTGAAAACCTCGAAATTTCGTTTATTTTGATAAAACGAGATAAAAACATATTGACTTTTCAATAATTATTTGTTTGGCCAACTAACCTTAAACGTTACGATATAAAAATCTGTAACCACTTCTTATTTTTCCATCCAGCACCGTCTCGAACCTCAGACTCCCCGACATCTGGAGGCCAGCCTTATTTTCAGTCTCAATCCCAGGTGGCGTTGTCGTCTCATCGTTCCAGCCAGCTGTGTTCGCAAAGGCCATGTAAGTTTCTTGGACGTCGTATTTGATATGGGTAAAGTGGGTATCAAAAGTGGAGGGGCGGATTTTATCATCATGAATATATTTGTTATTTAACTTAATATATATTACAACAACTTTTGTTAAACTCTGACATTTTGGCGAAACGCCTGACAACAGAAAAGGTAGTAGTTAAAGAATTTATATTCTTTAGTATCATTACCGCAACAAAGAAACGTTTTCGTGTGACTGATGTGTAATTATAAACATTTTATTGCTCAATTGGCTCATACTTTGAGGGGGGTTGGAGGTTGACGATGAGGTAAAACTCATCGACTCATTAAGTAAAAGGAGGCCAAGGCCGTCGTTTTGTGTTATCCATGTTTAGCGAAGTCATTAGTTTGTACAGTTAAAAGACCCTCAGGTCACTCACTTCTTCCGTAACGCGCACATTAGTGCCATTGCCCAGCTTTGTTGCAGAGTTGACCCTTTTTTTGTTATGGACTTGCGCCCTCGACTTACATTGGTGAGATCTGATTGTGAATGTACTTTACAGAAAAAAAACAACAACACTAAAGTCGTCTATTAACTCAAGTAAAGGTTAACACTGGAAAAAGTTTACCTATGAACCTAAGGACCAGTTTCTTGTTTCTACTGGATATTGTTACTGAAAATAACTTGATCCCATGAAAAAAAAGGTTGGAGGGTGGGTACTGTGGTCAAGGTGTCCGTCATGGCTATCAGTTAGCCAATAAAAATTACTTGTTGGCGTTAGATGTTCACAATTTCCTAAACAGGCGCTTTTGAGGACCCTTGAAACTCTTTCCACCCCATCACGATTTTCACCCTTTTTTCAGGACAAAAGAGTTAATCCCTTCTCTATTCTTCTTCTGGGCTTTTGTTACGAAATATTTCTTGTCCACAATTGAAAAAGATCGGTCTGCTGGCTTGAACTACCAGAGCGTAAATGAAGAATTTTGGGACCACTGAGGATTATAGTCATAACAACTGTATTTATTGAAAGGAGTGGTCAGTGAGTGGTTTTTGTGGTGTGGGCAGTGAGCGATTACTACTTTCTTGAAGTGTTGTAACTGCTGGTGGTCAGTCAGCGAGATCGATGATCGTTTCGAGTGTGTAAATTTGATTGATGTGGTAGTCGTACCAGTAACGTTCGTGAAGAGAATGTGGACGCATTTAGAACGTTTTATTTTACTAATACGCTGCGTCGAGTCTTGTTTTATTTTCAAACAATGAAACCGCGGATTTAATCGGAAATGTAACACAAATGTAAACGAAGAAGCACAATAAAATGTCTGTCTTTCAGACAAAATTTATATTATAAAAATATATATGAATAACCTACCAATCTGAAATCTGATCCTTTACAGCAGGAAGAATACAACATTTGGTTATGTCGGTATAACAACAGCATGGAACGAAAGTCAGCATGACCTTCGCTTTTAGTGAAAATCATGATGTCGATGTACAGAGTGGCATTGAAATCCAGTTTTATTGGATGCCATTCATCCCCACCCCCCTCCTTCTTCTATTTACGTGAATCGTGAGGGTACTTACGTAGAACGTGTAGCGTTAGACCAGACGGCTTCTGTCTGTCTACGTGAGTATTTAACGTCACAGTTTGTGGTGGCCATCTTTGGGATTTGTAGAAACGAAATAGTGTGTTCTCGGATTTGTGTTGGTGTCTCACTGAAAGCAGTAATGTGTACCAGTTATATGTATCTTGTGTGACGTATTCCATCATATATATATATAAATATACAGCAGTTACATGAGTATTATAGGGGCTGGGTGTATTTTACCGGTTGGAGTGGCATGATTCACAATCATGAGGCTCATTATTCACGTCCCGCTTCCACAAAAACGCGCTCCGCACTTCGGGGCCGTGGATGTGCTATAAGAGTGAAGGTAAAATTGCCTCATCTGTTCAGACGATAATAGCCCAAGAGTTGGCGGGTGGTGTTATTCACTAGCTGCCGTCCCTCCAGTACATAACTTTAAAATCAGGGACAGACAACCATTATTGTAGCTTTGCAACATTTCGTATGCAAAAGAATTATACAGTAAATACTCTACGTTGTATCAGGTTAAGACTAATCCATATTAATACATCTTGCACATATATGTTTATCTGTTCACGTACACAGTACGAAAAGGTTGACTGACGCAGCTTTAATATATTAGGAGATATTTGATTTTGACCTTTTTGTTTTGTACTGACTGTAGAACATCCAAAAGTTAATTTTTACTTACTTGGTGCAAAATGTTGTGTAATATGCAAATTAATATGAAAAAAAGAAACGTTTTTCCTGTTTTAAATTCATATTATGATAAACAAATAATAATAACTCAACCAGGCCTTGGTCTTCATGTTCAGTATTTTTAACTAAGATTTGAACTCCTCCTTGGTCCTCATGTTCAGTATTTTAAACTAAGATCTGAACCCCTCCTTGGTCTTC